GATCTTCAATCTCTGATATCCTTTCTTCTGTTTGGTGGATTTGGGTATTAAAACTTGGGTATGCTTCGCGAAGTTCTCGTGTTGTGCTTTTCAGCTCCATTAATTCATTTATATTTTTCTCTAAGCTGTTTATTCTCATTAGCATTTCATCAAACCTTTTTTCAAGGTTCTTAGTTTCTTTGCATTGGGTTAGAACATGTTCTTTTAGCTCAGAGAAGTTTTTTATTACCCACTTTCTGAAGCCTATTTCTGTCAATTCATCAGACTCATTCTCCATCCGGCCTTGTTCCCTTGCTGGTGAGGAGATGTGATCCCTTGGAGGAGGAGGGGTGTTCTGGTTTTGGGTGTTTTCATCCTTTTTGCTCTGGTTTCTTTCCATCTTTGTGGGTTTATCTACTTGTGGTCTTTGTAGTTGGTGACTTTAAGATGCGGTCTCTGAGTGGACGTCCTTTTTGTTGATGATGATGTTATTTCTTTCTGTTTTTTAGTTTTCCTTCTAACAGTCAGGCCCGTCTGTTGTAGGATTGCTGGAGGTCCACTCCAGACCCTGCTTGCCTGGGGATCACCTGCGGCAGCTGCAGAACAGTAAGGGTTGTGCCAGTTTCTTCTTCTGTTATCTTTGTCCCAGAGGGATACCCACCAGATGTCAGCCTGAGCTCTCCTTTATGAGGTGTCTCTTTGGATATATGGGGTTCAGGGAGCTGCTTGAGGAGACAGTCTATCCCTTATAGTAGCACAAGTGCTGAGCTGTGAGCTCCATTCCATTCAGAGCTGCTGGACAGGTACGTTTAAGTCTGCTGCAGTGGAACTCGTAACCACCCTTTTTTCCCAGGTGCTCTGTCATGGGAAGGTGTGGCTTTATTTGTAAGTTCCCAACGTGCTGCTGCCTTTTTTCAGAGATACCCTGCCCTGCCGGGAGGTAGCTTAGTCACAGTCTGCCAGCAGAGGCGTTGCTAAGCTGCCATGGGCTCTGCTCAGCTGCAATGTGAACTTCCTTGCAGTTTTGTTTACAGAGGTATAGTCAGAACTGCCTCAGTAATGGTGGTCTGCCTGGGAAATGGCAGACTGCCTCGGTAATGGTGGACGCCCTTCCCCCCACAGAGCTGGATCATTCTGGGTCCAGCTGGGCTTGCTGTGAAACTTTCAGTCTGGAGAGTTTCAGATTGCTGGTCTTTGTGGAGATGGGACCTGCCGAGCCAGACCACCTGACCCCTGTTTCAGCCCTTTTTTTCAGTTGAATTGGTGACTGTGTCTCCCAGTTGTTCCAGGCGTCAGTTGAAACAGCCACCCTGATTTGTGTGAGTTTTTGTGCGGAGACCCGCTGCACCATCTAAAACAGCCATGCTGGAGACTCATGGCGCTTTTCTGCCTGGGAATCTCCTGGTCTGTGGGCAGTAAAAACTTGCTTGGAAATGCGGTGATTACTCACCCTCTGCATTCTCGCTGGGACTGCACTCCAGAGCTGTTCCTATCTTGGATCTCTTCTCCCTGCACTTTTTTTCTTAAGAGATGTTGCCTCACTCTGTCGCTCGTGCAGTGGCACAGTCATAGCTCACTGCAGCCTCAAACTCCTGAGCTCAAGTGATCTTTCTGCCTCGGCCTTCAGAGTAGCTGGGAGGGAGTACAGGTGTGTACCATCACACCTGGCTTTTTTTTTTTTTTTTTTTCTTTTAAGAGACTGGGTCTTGCTATGTTGCCCAGGCTGGTCTTCAACTTCTAGGCTCAAGTGATCCTCCCACCTGAGCCTCCCAAATAGATTACCAACTTTTAAAATTGTTCTTCTTTTTCAAGACTATTTTGGCTATTCTGGGTCCCTTGCATTTCCATAAAAACTTTATGATAAGCTTACCAATTTCTGCCAGAAAGCAAACTGGGATTTTGATACAGGTTGTATTGCATCTGTAGATCACTGAAGAATATTGTTTTCTTAACAATATTAGGTCTTTTATGGCTGGGTGCAGTGTAATCCCAGCACTTTTGGAGGCTGAGGGAGGTGGATTATCTGAGGTCAGGCATTCAAGACCAGCCTGACCAACATGGTGAAACCCTTTCTCTACTAAAAATACAAGAAACTAGCCGGACTTGATGGCAGGCACCTGTAATTCCAGCTACTTGGGAAGCTGAGGCAAGAGAACCACTTGACCCAGGAGGCAGAAGTACTTGTAGTGAGCCAAAATCATGCCATTGCCCTCCAGCCTGGGCTACAGAGCAAGAACTTGTCTCAAAACAAAAAAAAAACAAGTCTTTTAAACCCTGAGCATGTGATGTCTTTCCCCTTGTTCAGGTCCTATTTAATTTTATCAAAGTTGTATACCTTTTAGTGTATAAGTCTTATGCTTCTTTATTAAATTCATTTTTACGTATTATATTCCTTTTGATGCTATTGTAAATGGTGGTTTCCTTATCTTTAGTTTCAGACTGTTCATTGCTAGCTATAGAAATCCAAGAAATTTTTGTTCATTGATCTTGTATCTTTCAACCTTGCTGAACTTATTTAGTAATTCTAATTGTTAGTAGATTCCTTAGGATTTTTTCTATACAGTGTAATGTCATCTGCAAATAGAGGTTTATGTCCTTTTAAATCTGGATGTTTTTATTTTTTTCTTTGCCTAATTTCCATGGCTAGACCTGCCAGTACAGTGTTGACTAGAAAACAGCAAGAGCAGACTGACTTGTCTTGTTCCTAATCTTAAAGGGGAAGCTTTGTCTCTCACCATTAAGCGTGATTTAAGCTGTGAGTGCCTTCAACACATTGAGGAAAATCCCTTCTATTTCTAGTTCGTTGAGTATTTTTTATCATGAGAGTATTCCATTTTGTGACATGCTTTTTCTGAGTCTATTGAGATGATCATGTGGTTTTCTCTTTTTACTAATACTTTAATGTAATATTAATATGGTATATCACATTAATTTGCATGTTAAGCTAATGTTTCTGGGACAAATTCTTCTTGGTAATGGTGTATAATCCTTTTTATATGTTACTGGGTTTAGGTTGCTAGTTTATTGTTGAAGATTTTTGCATTTATATTCAGAAGGGATATTGGTTTATAGTTTTTGTTTGTTTGTTTGTTTTAATGCCTTCCCTGGTTTTGTCATCAGGATAAAAGTGACCTCATGGAGTGAATTGGAAGATGCTCTCTTCTCTTCTGGTTTTTTGAGAGTTTGTGATGGATTGCTAGTACTTCTTAAATGTCTTAGAAAATTTTAATAGTGAATAGATTAAGATAGGAATAAGGAAACTGCTCCAAAGTGGACATTCTAAACAAGTCTATGGGAGAAAGCAAAAAATTCTTCCATTGCAACGTTTGATGGTCTTTTGTACTTTCAGGTGTGTACTAACATAACATAACAGCCTCTTTAATGGAATAGAGGAAATTCTCTAAGGGGAGACCTAGAATAAGTCAGTCCTTTATTCTATGGAGAAAAAAGAAACCTCTCAAGATAAGGTGAATATACCTTGTTCCTGGAAAACTAACATTACTCAATTCTGGAGCTGCTTTCTCTCCATAGATTTGCTCTCTACTGTCCAGATATAAACTTTGGTCATTCTCTACTTCCCCTATCCCTTTCCCCCAGGTACTCACTTAGTTTAAGCCGCATTGTCTCTACCGGTCAACCTCTTGTGGTTACATACGTTTCTGTTAAAACATGATATCTTTTATTAACACCATTCTTGCTGATTTAAAAATAAATGCACCAGTATAGTGAAATAAACATGAAAGAGAAAAGTTGAATAACACCACCATGCCTGTTATCCCTGCCTACCTTGAGTTTAGAAAATAGAGAAATGAAACAAACCAATATTATTAGTGGACACCATTTATAGAACACTTAATGTGTTAGGCACAATGCTACATTCTTTTTCGGGTTTTGTTTTTTTTGTTGTTGTTTGTTTTAGTTTTTGGTTGGGGGGCTATGTCACCCAAGCTGGAATGGTGCAGTGGCGCCATCTTGGCTCACTGCAACCTCTTCCTCCCGGGCTCAAGCAATTCTCCTGCCTCAGCGTCCCGAGTAGCAGGGATTACAGGTATATGCCACCACACCCAGCTAATTTTTGTATTTTTAGTAGAGATGGGGTTAACACCACGTTGACCAGGCTGGTCTCAAACTCCTGACCTCAGGTGATCCACCCACCTTGGCCTCCCAAAGTGCTAGGATTACAGGCAGGAGCCACTATGCCTGGCCAATGCTAAAATTTTTACAAGGATGAAGACTTTGTTGACAGCCAGGCTCAGAGGCATGTCATACAGCAGAACCAGCGTCAAGCACAGTCTGATTCAAGCAGGCATTCCTGACCACCACCTGGAGCATACTGGGGTACAGCCTGCATAGTACTGAAGTACCCCAAGATTTGGGGTTTATTGGAGGTTGGAATGGCCAGAAGAGTCCTCTGTGGAAAAGCTAGATTTTGGATGGGAAGCTGGAGAGAACACAGGCTCAAGTGAGAGGAGTTAGGGAACAGGAACAGCAGATCCTCATAAAGGAATTACAGTCTGCTGCACATAGTGGAATTAGAGCAGTGTGGTGTCCATCAACCAAACGGAAGCGGAGAACCTGTCACTGTCCAGGGCACATAATTTCAGTTATGTTCTAAACAGCTTCAGATTGTATTTTTTCTTCTGCTTACACAAGAAATGTGATAACAAATATAAGACTTGCAAAAAGTTCTTAAGAAATTTCCTATTAGCTGGGCAATAGAGTGGAAAGATGCAAGGGAATCTGCTAACTGGTTTTTGAGAGAATTAGGAATCCAAAAGAAACAAAACAGGAGAAATTACACTAACTCTCTATATAGTTTACAGTTTTTTTTTCTTAACCATTTGCATATGTGGAATATTTGCATGATACTTATCCAACTTTACAAGGCTTACCATTGTGAAGAAAAATGAAGAGAAACCTTTTATTTACTTTATGCACTATTGATGTGTTTAAACTGAGAATCAGGGAAGCTATGTTTTTAATGGATACATAATTTAATAATATATTTTTTTATTTTACAGATACCCAGGTGTTCCCTCTGATGCCCAGGAGGAGAAAGGCATTAAGTACAAATTTGAAGTATATGAGAAGAATGATTAATATAAATGTGTTTTCTAGTTTAAGCTGTTCCTCCTCCCTCTGAAAAAAAATTATGTATTTTTACATTAGAAAAAAAGACTTTTTTTCCTTCTACAAGATCTTAGGGAAGCTTTTCGCTTTTCTCTCTTATCTTTTTCTTTCCCCTTTTTCTCTCTTTCTGCAAAGAAAAAAAAAAGACTTATTGACTTTAGATCTGTGGATAATGATTTCTAAGCAATGTGTTTGTATTCCCCACTAACCTTTTTTTTTTTGCTGTACACCACTATTGACTTTATAAATACTTTACACTTTCCCCACTAACCTTGGCTATATCAGATACCATTTATGAAACATTTTTGCTATAACTAAGTGCCTATCCAAGACCCCAACTGAGTCCCCAGCACCTGCTACACAGTGAGCTGCCATTCCACACCCATCACGTGGCACTCCTGCCAGTCCTTGACATTGTCGGGCTTTTCAAATGTTGGTAGTATTTATTAAAGATGAAGATGCACATACCCTTCAACTGAGGATTTTCACTAGTGGGAAATACTGAAAGCTTCCTGCATGTATATCCAGAGATTTGTAGACAAATGTCACAGCCTTGTTTGTAACAGTGAAAAATTGAAAACAACCTGGAAGTCCAGTGAAAGCGGTTTATTTGCTAGGTCATACCAGAAATCATCAGTTGAGGTATGGAGAAATGGAACTGAGTAGGTAAGAAAACCAGTTAAAAGTCATTGAGCAGGTTCTCATTGGTAACAAGCTCCATACTGCTGAGATACATGGGAACAGAGGGGAGAAAGCTGGAGTGTTGATCCCCCACTCCTTGGTTGTCAGCTCCCTTTCCTGTGGATGGGGTGGAACATACTCCAGCTGCTCTATAACAAGTCCCAGGTGTTTGCAGTAAGAAGCTGCTGGCATGCACGGGAACAGTGAATGCCAAACACTTAAAGCAATTGTATGTTTAAGTATATAAGCTCTTCATGCTTTTTAGTTTTTGGTAGATAGAGTTTGACTGTTGTTGCCCAGGCAGAGTGCAATGGCACAACCTTGGCTCACTGCAACTTCCGCCTTCCCTGGTTGAAGCAATTCTCCTGCCTCAGGCTCCCAAGTAGCTGGGACTACAGGTATACACCACCACACCCAGGTAATTTTATATTTTTAGTAGAGACAGTGTTTCACCATGTTGGCCAGGCTGGTCTCAAACTCCTGACCTCAATTGATCTATCTGCCTTGGCCTCCCAAAGTGCTGGAATTAACAGGCACGAGCCACCGCACCCAGCAGATCTTATTTTTTTTATGTAGTAAAAAGTATGAAGCCACACATTTATAATTTTAAAAAACACAGATGAAGGAAAAGCAATTCTAAGTTCAAGCGAGGGATGGTGGTAGTTTGAACCAAAGGATTGCATGTAGTAAGGAATCGTGATTTAAGATATATTTTAAACTTGGCCGTAGCAGGATATTCCAATGGAGTTTGACTTTGGTTTTGGCCCACTGAGTTTGAGATGCCTTTGAGAAATGAAGAAAGTAGAGAGAGAAGAAAAGAAAAAGTGGCCAGGCACAGCGGCTCGCACCTGTAATCCAGCATTTTGGTAGGCCAAGGCAGGTGAATCACTTGAGAACAGCTTGGGCAGCATGGTGAAGCCCCATCTCTACAAAAAATAGAAAAATTAGCTGGGCATTGTGGTGCACACCTGTAGTCCCATCTCAGGGAACTGAGATGGAAGGATCAGTTGAGCCCAAGAGTTCAAGGCTGCTGTGGTGCCTCATGATTGTGCTGCTGCACTCCAGCCTGGGTGGCGGAAGAGACCCTGTCTTGAAATAGAATCTGAAAACAATGGAACCATGCTTTCGGCATTCTAGAAAGAAAGTTATTTTCAACTGATAAATCTATATTCAGCCAAATAATCAAGGGCTGAAGGTAAAATAATACTTTAGACAAGCAAAGACCCGGGTTACCTCCATGTGCCCTTTCTTGGGAAGCTATTGGAGAGAATATTCCAGCAAAATGAAGGAGTACACAAACCAGAGAATGACATGGATCCAACAAATAGGATCCAGCACAGGCAATATTCCAGGTATGGAGCTGGCTTTACAAAGAAACAGTAAAAATATTAATAGGTTAGATGGGTGGAATGGCTCATGCCTATATTCCCAGCTACGCAGGGGGCTAAGCAAGAAGATGGCTTGAGCCCAAGAGTGACAGACCAGCCTGGCCACTATAGTGAGGTCTCTTCATAATAGGGGTTGAGCACAGTGGTTCACGCCTGTAATCCCAGCATTTTGAGAGGTTGAGGCAGGCGGATCATGAGGTCTGGAGTTCAAGACCAGCCTGACCAATATGATAAAACCACATCTCTACTAAAAAATAAAATTGGCCGGGTGTGGTGGTACACGCCTGCAGTCCCAGCTACTTGGGAGGCTGAGGCAGGAGAATCGCTTGAACCTGGGAGGTGGAGGCTACAGTGAGCCTAGATCACGCCACTGCAGTCCAGCCTTGGTGACAGAGTGAGACCCTGTCTCAAAAATAATAATAGGTTATTGCCAGATTTGGGGCATTTGGAATGAAGTTCATTGAAGAAAGATAAAGAAAAAAAAGGCGGGGGTGGGGAAGGGATGGTTAGGCAATTATTAATTCTAGGACAGAAAGAAGTACAGGATAGGAAATAAGAGCATAGTAAGCTCTTTTTCTCAACAATGAGCAATCTGTACATATAATGATGTGACTGCTTACCCCTTAAATCTGGTAACTACTTTGGGACAATATGGGAGGAAAAGTGAAGATAGTGATGGTGTAAGAGCTAAATCCTAATCTGTCGTATCAAGAAATCACTATATAATATAAAAAATAATCAAGAAATGACTAGTTATGTGAGGTAAAAAATAGAAGACATTGCTAAAAGAGTTAAAAGTCATTGCTCTGGAGAATTAGGAGGGATGGGCTGGAGACTGTTAGGATGCATTATAAACTGAAAAGTCTTTTGCAAATTACATGTATTAATATATGCATTCACTTGAAAAACTAAAAACATACGAATTTGGGAAAACCCAGGAAGGTAACTGCCAGAAGGAAAAACTAACAGAATGAAAAGTGCTTGCCTCTGGAAAGAACAACTGGCAGGACTGTTGTTTTCATTGTAAGAGTTTTAGAGCCATTTGATTTTACTTAACCATTTTCATATATTTCTTTAATAAAAACAATTCCATCTTAATAAAAAATTACACTCATAAGTGCTGACCTCCTGTTCTTTGTACACCCCACACAAAATTCCAAAGCAACTTTGATGGCAATTTATCTCCATGGTCAGCTTAAAAATAGAGAAAGGGGGCCAGGCGCGGTGGCTCAAGCCTGTAATCCCAGCACTTTGGGAGGCGAGGCAGGTGGATCACAAGGTCAAGAGATCGGACCATCCTGGTCAACATGGTGAAACCCCGTCTCTACTAGAAATACAAAAAATCAGCTGGGCATGGTGGCACGTGCCTGTAATCCCTGCTACTCAGGAGGCTGAGGAGGAGAATTGCCTGAACCCAGGAGGCGGAGGCTGCGGCGAGCCAAGATCGCGCCATTGCCCTCCAGCCCCGGTAACGAGAGCGAAAGTCTGTCTAAAAAAAAGAAGAAGAAAATAGAGAAAGGAAAACATAGAATTAGCCAAGAGTCGCACAAAACAAAGATCAGTTGTTAGGAACCAATCAAAATCAAGTCTTACCTTTTTCAGATTGGTTTATGGAACAGCACTGTAAGGTGATGACTTGAGGCAAACATGTAAATAATAAAACACATGTTTTAAATATTCAGGTTAGCTAGCACATTTTATGTTTCTGTGAGATTAAAATCGTGTGACATACCCACTTCCTTAAAGGCAGTGTTTCTCAAAATGTTGGACCTGCTATTCCTGATTCCTGAATCAGGGTTGGGTCTCGGAATCTGCCTTTTAAACAACCATCTCAGATAATCTGAAGCCTACTTAAGTTTGTAAGGCACTGCTTTTGCACTCTAAGGAAGAACAAAAATTTTAATCCCCATCTCTATAATATCTCAGTGAAGCAAAACAGAAAAGCAAATTATAAATTAGTATAAGATTTCAGAAGGCAAAGTTGTAAAGATTAATTTCCTCAGCCTGGGCAACATGGTGAAGCCCCATCTCTACAAAAAAAAAAAAAAAAAGCTGGTTATAGTGTTGTGTGCGTGGGGTCCCAGCTACTTGGGAGGCTGAGGTGGGAGGATCACTTGAGTCCAAGAAGTAGAGGCTGCAGTGAACTCAAATCGTATCATCACTCCAGCAGCCTGGGTGACAGACCAAAACCCTGTCTCAAAAGAAAAAAATATTTCCTTGTTGCTGATCTATTTTAAGAATGAGATTTTCTTAAATGTGGATGCAAATACATATAGAAGTATTTGATATCAGTAACTCCAAGAGAAACAGTAAACAAACTCAATAATAGATGTCCCTTAGCAAGATGCTTTTCTTATACAGGTAGTAAACTAAAAACTATAAAGTTAATGACCTAATTAGGCAACATGAGTGAGGGAAAGGTTGGCTGGCAAGCTGTTGTAAGGATTCAGAAAAATAGTTATCTTTGAAAGATTGAACCTTGTGATTAAAGATGATCCAGCAGGGAGAAAGAAAAGAAATGCATAATTAAATGGCTACTGGGAATAGAATTAGAGACTATAAGCAGAAGATATTACTTTTTGTTTATTTGTTTTTGAGACAGAGCCTCAGTATCGCCTAGGCTGGACTGCAGTGATGGCAATCTCAACTCACTGCAACCTCTGCTTCCCCAGTTGAAGCAATTCTCCTGCCTCAGCCTCCCTGTAACTGGGATTACAGTTGTGTGCCACTATGCCCAGCTAATTTTTTTTTTTTTTTTGAGACAGTCTGTCACCCAGGCTGTGCTGCAGTGGCACAATCTCGGCTCAAGGCAGCCTCCGCCTCCATGGTTCAAGTGATATTCCTGCCTCAGCCTCCCAGGTAGCTGAGATTACAGGCATGAGCCACCATGCCCAGCTAATTTTTGTAATTTTTGTAGAGACAATGTTTCACAACGTTGGCCAGGCTGGTCCTCCTCAAGTGTCACCCAGGCTGGAGTGCAGTGGCACCATCTCAGCTCAGTGCAACCTCCACCTCTCAGCTTCAAGCGATTCTTCTGCCTCAGCCTCCCCAGTAGCTGGGATTACAGGTGTGTACTACCACCTCCAGCTAATTTTTGTATTTTTAGTAGAGACAAGGTTTTGCCATATTGGCCAGGCTGGTCTCAAACTCCTGACCTCAAGTGATGCACGCACCTCAGTCTCCCAAAGTGCTGGGATTACAGGCCTGAGCCATCACACCCGGCCAATTTTTGTATTTTTAGTAGAGACGGGGTTTCACCATGTTTGCCAGGCTGGTCTCAAGTGATCAACTCCTGGCCTCAAGTGATCTGCCCGCCTCGGCCTCCCAAAGTGCTGGGATTATAGGCGTGAGCCACTGCACTCAGCCCAAGATACTGTTACTTTCAAAGGGGATAAAGCCCCTGGCCGAACAGGAAAGAAGGCCCACAAGCTACATGAAGTGCTGTTCTTGTTACTGGGAGTGAGTGGCGGGGAATTATTTTAATGACAATTTCTAATGATCTGCTCATGTCCTTTCTGTTCCCCAG